AGTTTTTGATCACAAGAGTAAGAGAAGTATAGAACAAGTTTTTAAATTAAAGTATAAATATATATAAATACAGAGTATATTGACACATTTTAATAATATTCATACTAAAAAGTACATTATCTGTATCGGATACTCGTTTTGACTAATGCTTAACCTCAATGGCTGGGCCTGCCAAAAAAACAAGGTAAACTTTCACTTCAAGGTCCATTTTGTAGCTGTTCTGCAGCCTTTCTGTGTAGCTTTCCATCATATCGCATGATCGTAATCAGTAGACGGAGTTAGTCCAGTTGTCTCAAATGATAGATTTTTTAAATCTCCTTTATCTCTGAGCACTTTAAGGATTTCTCCAAAGGTCCACTTTAAAAGGTTTTCCTAACCTTGGAAAGAAAACAAATCTCTCTCTTATGTTTGCTTGGAGACTAGCACAAACTAGCTGTGCAGGGGTTTCTTGATAGCATCTACAAGTGGTTCAATTGTGAATGCAGAGGGGGGAATTGTTTTGTAACAAGGTTTGATAAATCGCACAAGGACCAATTTATTGGTAATGTGATTATTTCCCTCCCCAGTAGCAGCATAAATGTACAATAAAACATCAACCTCAAATGATCTATTCCCTATTTCCCTCTATTTAAGCTTGTTTAGACTCTTGTTAAAGAGCTCGACAGCTTAAAGAAGAGCACAAGCAACACAGGAAACTACACAGTTCATTGTGATCTCTCTGGTTAACAACATGATGTGGGTTTATAAATTTACTAACTAGTTCCAGTGGCATCTGCAGGGAAATCAAACAGGAAGATACAGTTATCGAAATTTGGTCTTGTTTTGTTAATTTGAAGCTTAGTTTTCATGTCATAGTGTAAATACGATGATTTGAGAGAGAATTTAGCTACAAGCTGTAATCATCTCGCTCAAGTGATTTCCCTTTCAAAAATCATTCCTCCTTTCTCATCTCTTTTTTTTTTCTAAATGTGGGAAAAATATTTTGGTAGGCACACCTCCAGTTGGCATTTATAAAATGATCCGTAAATCTTAGTATAAAGCTAGTTTCCATCTCCACTGGCTTCCATCTGGGTTGCATAAAAGTTGACATTTCATTGTAGTTATTGTCAATCTCAGGGAGGGTTTTCTTTTAACTGACCATGAGTCCCGATGCCAATAAATACAAGCTCAGTGTGATCAATATAAACCAGACAACCAATAAAAACAAGGTTGCGCAACCTGTGACATAATTAAGGTCAAAATTATATTTTGCACTTTGATTTTAAACAATACAGCTCAGAATTGCAGTTGTAAAGTATGAAGTGGTTGATACTGTGCAAATAATAAATCCACTGATTACGCTACAAAAGAGAGCCATATAAGATGAATCTGAGGGAACATACCGACAGTTTGTTAAGTCAGAGGTAATACAACTGAAGGATTAATGTGAAATAATAATAATTTTACCAAAACCGCTTTGGTCCAGACTGAAATATGTTAACAAATACTATGAATTGCGATTGAATTTTGTTCCGAAATTCATTTTGCCCTCAGAATGAATCCTAATAAGTTTGGTAAAACCTTCACCTTTCCTCTAATATCAGAACAGTCACAATAGTTTTTTTTCATGGTTAATGGAGCCTGTGACTCCACCATGAAAACATTACAGAGTAGATGAGAGATGACAGTAGCTGGATTAATGCAAAAGAGATATTAAATTGGACACATAGCTCTCCTGCGTGCTTATTGCATCATACTGTGCAATTGCATTATTGGCCAAATTAAACTTTCCACTGTCATTAAAAGAGTACTTCTTGCTGAGTCATAAATATATAAACACTGCACTATTTCACAGAACATTAATCAATCTGGAACATTGGGATCCAGTGGTATGTAAATAAATCTTTATCCTTGAAGAAATGCTTTGAAAGAATATACTGGTGAGCAGGCATATTGAAGATAGAGCTTAATTGCTCTACAGGGAGTTTGTTTAAAGAAAAAAAGAAATGTAATTTTCTGTAACACCCAGGGGCTTGTGAGAGGTAATGGTCTGTTATTTCTTCAGCAGAAACAGCATTTTTAAAAGGCCATTTCCCTCATCCTGTAAAGCTCACTTATCTTGGATCTGCTGATGCACCAAAAGGAAATGAAATGAAACAATTAAAGCTATCCATACTCCTTATCAGTAGGATTCTCTAACATAATCTTTTGTTGCTTCCTGATGAAACAGCAGTCAGAAAGTCTGACTTTTCCCACATTAAAGGGGAAGTATTGTGAGAGAATGAGTTGTTTTCTCAAAATAAGACAGATTCTGATTGATTGTATATTTTATTAACAGTGCACTGCTTATACAGAAACAGGAGAAATGTGTTTATTTTGGATGTTCCCATGTCAACATCAGAGATGTAGGAAGTGTGCTGTTTAATTTTTTAACAGGTCAATAAACAAAAGCGCTTTCTTCTCAACCCATTTGATGCTACTGGCAGCTACATTTCACATTCATAAATGCAAATTTACCTGTAAAAATAACGTTTGTTGTTCTGATGAGTGAAATGAAGTGCTTTTTCAAACAACAGAACAGAACAGCTGTGAAAACTGCTATTTCACAGGGCTTTTATGTAATAATGGATGTTTTTATCCACTTTCTATCATCATTTCCTCACTCATAGTGTGGCAGTGGATGTCTTGGAAACTTCAGATTGAATTTAAATGTTTAATACTGAGTGAGACACAGAAGAGAAAGAAAGTGGTAAAAGGATTTGGTCCCAGGCCACTTGAAGCTTAAGTACAGACTATTTCTGATCATATAAAATGGCTTCAGTGTGTGGGCTATCTGACTAATATCTGCTGAGAGGAGGTCACAGCTGGAGGAGGCTTCCAGAGAAAGAAAGCCACTGCACCTGCCAAGCTCTTTAGCTAATACAGATTTCCCCCCTTTGATAGATTAAATGTTTAATATCGAGGTGGCGGTGGGGTAGGGGGATGCATGAATCCGCAAAAAAACCTTGTCATGTGGTTCCTCATTTGTGTGAGAGGTTTTTTTGCGAATAACTGCAGATCTTATGACATCATTTCACATTGCTGCAATTCACGTGATTGTTATGAGTTTTCAATGTAGTGAATTTGGCAGGTCTAGCCTCGACCTCTGACAAATGTTTTGACTGGTTCACTAGCTTGGTCCAGACTATCTCAGCAGCTTTTGGATGGATGCTGTTCAGACGTTCATGTTCCCCAGAGGAAGACGTTTACTAACTTTAGTAATCCCCTGAATCGTCCTCTAGCGCCACCGGCAGGTTGAAATTTGTACATGAGAGTGAAATGTGTCAACAATTCACGGATGGATTAGCATGCAATTTGGTGAAGACATACGTGGTTTTTGTGATTTTTTATGGTCCTTTATATCTATCATCATGGTTTATTGCTAATAACAGTCCCATAAAATGTTAGCATGCTAAAAATGTAAACAAACATGTAAACAGCGGTCAACATTGATGAAAACGCTGATGATGTTGAAGACTGTATCGGAACCACCAGCCGTAGGTTCGGCGCTGTGGCTTGTGGCCCTTTGCTGCGTGTCGTCCCCTGTCTCTCTACCACCTTCCCTGTTACTCTTTAGCTGTCGCTGTTGATTGAACGCAATGAAAGCCCCAAAAAAATTCTGGAAAAAAAAAAAACCCTAAAACATTATAAACTTTGTAATTAACCACTAACCTCCAGAAGATTATTACACTTTCTTCACCACATTGTAGAAGACCAAAAAATATTTTTGGACCCCCACTTCAATCTTGGACACTTTTCAACTGTTTCGTCACCCTGACACAGCTGCTCCAAAAGCAACATGTTATTCCTTTCCTTGAAGTTCACTCAGTACAGTCTTGCAGAAGGTAATTGACTGGAAGAATTTGATGAGATCAGTTAAGTTTCAGTTTTAGCTGCTTGAATAACAGGAGTTTATCACAGCAGTAACGTCTGTTCCCTGAAGATTGGTGGGAGCTGTTTGAGCACTTTGTCCGGGCTGCATCCTGTTTGTGATATTGGTGGATGGGATATCAAGGTTCAGATAAGATGCGGAGAATGTCCAGTCTGGTAACATTGTTGTGGGATTTCAGATGTTTGGTTTGCAGCTGAGTGTGGTCGAGGGTCATGGTAGTCATGGTATTCCCCTGGAAGGAGGAGGTGGCATTCCAATTAGGTGAAGGGGCAACAACTGGAGGAGTTGTAGTGTCGTAGGGATTTAATTATTGAATGTGAAGGATTGTAACTGGCTGAGGCTCTGGGATGTAAAGTAGGCTATAACATGAATACATAAATATGGTGGTATACATTTGGGTGGCTGTGGCTCAGAAGGTTGGTGGTTTGTGTCCTTAAGCTAAGATACTGAACCCCAAATGCTCCCAATGCTGTGCACAGGGTGGATACATGTGTATGAATGTTAGTTTCTGGTTGCGACAGCCTTTGCCATCGCTGTATGAATGTGTGTGAATGGGTGAGTGGGGCATATATTATAAAAGCACAGTCCATTCACTATTTAAAATGTGCATTTGAGTGTTCCTGTCTGGCATAAAATAATAATAAACACAGAACAACAACAACAAAACATTTATTTATTCATTTTGTATGGCTATTCTTTATGGTACATAGAAATTTTACAAGCTTTCCAGTTATCAATCAAGGATATATTCCATTTTATTGTATAATTTTTTTATATTCTAGTCTAGTCTATTTTTTTCATTATATTTTTATTGTATTTTTACCCTTTTTCTGCTCTTTGCACTACATTCCCCCGTACTGCTGTACCAAATTTGAATTTCTGCTATGGGGGATAAATAAAGGAACATCTTATCTCATCTTATGAATTACGCTGCCTTATATTTTATGCTTATACTACCAATATACAATATCTTGCTTAAAGCGTTACTTATCTCCCAGGGACTAAAAATAAATAAATAAAACAAAATAAAACTCAATTTCCCAGAAATCTTGCGCCGGTCGCGCTGAGGTCACCAGGAAGTAGCTTGTAAACAGCGTTCGTCACCAGCGTACACCGGCTAGGCGGAGTCAGCACTCGATATCAAAACAGGGGGTACACTAACAGAAAAAGTAACACCCAGAAGCTGTTGCTTAACCAGTATTAGCGGTATCACCGGTATGTGTGTTTCACTAACGTGTTATTTTAATGGTTTTGTTGTTGGTTGTTGCTGTTGTAGCATGTGATCCGCCGCCGGGCTTCTTTAACACTTCTAACAGCCCAACCTCCACACACAGATCCCTGTAGCGACTGAGCTGTCCTGTCCTCGACCTGAAAGCAAAGGTAGGCTTAAACTGGAGGTTAGAAGTTACCTTTAGATAAACTATTGTGTACTGGTGCAGCCTAACAGAACACTGCAGCTTCATACACTGGTATTAGCCCACTATCTTGACTGTCATTGATCCATTGTTATTAAAGTAATGTTAGTAACACTTGGTGCAATCCCAGTTTACACAAAGTACTACATTTTATATTTTATACACCATTTTGCTGGTGTTTTACTTTACAGACACTGTAAACAGACTGGTATCACTTCTCCTCTATCTACTTTGGACTTTGAAACCGAGTCTAAAGTCTAAATGCAGTGGTGGAAGAAGTACTAAGATATCTTACTGAAGTAAAAGTAGCAATACCACACTGAATTCAACATTGTGTGCAAGTACAACTGCAAAAGCATTCGCATTAACATATATTTAAAGTATTGAAAGTACTCACTGTGCAGAATGGTCTATTTCAGAATAAATTGTATGATTATGTTAAACTGATATGTGTACATACATCACTTTAATGTTGCAGCTGGTAAAGCTGGAGTAGATGTATAAAGTTGTATAAAATCTAAATATTTAAGCAAAGTACAAGTACCTGTACTTAAGTACAGTCAAAGTCCCTACTGTTGCAAGCTACTACACCTCTCAGAGGTCTGTGTGTTTACTTTGTTGGCATTTGTTTCTCAGAAATTAAAAAAATAAAATTAGACTACTGTCTTTAGTGTGTCTACCCTTCAAAATAAAAGCCAGAATGATTAACCGTTCTAATACAAACCAGTTTACTGTAGGGCTTCAACTATAAATTATTTTCATTATTGATTCATTTGTCCATTATTTTTCCAATTAGTTCGTTAATAGTCCAGGCGAAATTAAAAATCTTATTTTAACATTGCGTCTTCTAGCTGTAAAAGCACATTGTGTGACTTAAAGCCGTCAACTCTGAATTACAAGTCAATCTTGATATGATATATGTGATGTATACAGGGTCGCCAGGTCTTATGGATTTTCTTAGTGGTACCTCATTAAGTTTTTCCAGTTTAAGGTGTTGCACAACATATAAGTGGAGATTTTTAACAGCAATAGTAATAGCCCTCCTCACCTCCTCTGCTATTGGTGTTGCATTGAATGTCATTTTACTGAGAGGTCTTTCTGATGTTATACCTTTTTCTAGTGAAGTCATCATGGCACTGGTTGGAGTGAGAGTGATCGAGCTGGCGGGCCTGGCTCCAGCACCGTTCTGTGGCATGATCCTGGCAGACTTTGGAGCCAAGGTGATCCGTGTGGACCGCACCAAAGTTGCCATGTCTTTGGACACACAAGCCCGGGGGAAACAATCTGTGGCAATCAACCTGAAGACATCAGAGGGTGTAGCCCTGCTCAGGAAGCTCTGTGTCCAGTCCGATGTGGTCCTTGAGCCCTACCGTAAAGGTCAGACCACCAACAGCCTCATACAGTACAGTTACAGTATATGCATTATAGTTAGAATCAGTGGTGGAAAAAAGTATTTAGGTTCTTTATTTAAGTGAAAGTCCTGCTTTCAAAATCCAAGTAAAAGAACAGAAGTAAGATCAGCAATAAGTATTAACAGTATAAGAACTCATTCTGCAGAAATAAATGGCCCTTGTGAGTGATACATTATAAAATGTCATGAGATTCATCATTGTGTTAACAATATTTTACTGCTGTAGCTGGTGGAGATTGGGGTTGGAACTCCTACAAAGGTTCACAAGATAAATCAGGGGTGTTTTGAGATGATTAATGGGGCAGGAAAGAATAAAAAAACACAGCTCTGATTAAATTTTTTCTTTGCAGTTTTATGAAATATTAGATATTTTTGCCTCTTTAACCCTCAATCAGTTATTGAAATCAAACCAGCTGACACATTTTGAGAAGAAATCACTAGACCTGCACCTTCATTGATTCATTTATATTGTTTTACTTAAAGCAACAAAAACAAAACAGCATTTCCCTTTTTGTTTTATTTGATATCATTAGAAATTGAACATCTTTGGGTCTGAACTGTTGGACAAAAAGAGATATCATCACCTAGGAGTCACGAGAAATGTGATGGACATTTTGTCAATATTTTCTGACATTTTCTAGATTGAAAAGAATGATTTTCAGATTAATCAATAATACAAAATAATCATTTGTTGCAGCCTTAGAAATTCTTCTGCTCATAGATTTCTGATTTTTTTTGTGATGGGGTCACAAGACAAAATTGTCGAGGCAGAACAAGGCATTGTATTTTATAAGCTCTTCATGTGTTTTGTATACAAAAACCTTAATTTGTAAAGTAACTAGTTACTATACTATACTATTAAATAAATGTAGTGGTATAGAATTGAGTATAAAATGGTAAATGTGCTTTGTTACTCACCACCACTGGTCAGAATTGGTGCTTAATTTAGTTTTCCTATTAGATTACCAGGCATTTTTTAATGTGTTTATGTTAAAATAATAAGTCCATGTAATGAAATGTGTTTGTGTTTGGAGGTGACAATCTTAGATGTACTCTCTGAGTTATGCACAACAACAACCACATTTAAAACCCAAAAGATCACTAGATAAGATATATACTTTATTATGAATCCCCTATTGGGGAAATTCAACTTTTCACTCTTTTTTATTCTTACACACACACACACACACACAGGCTGAAACACTTGTGGACATGCAACAGGGAGAGAGATGGTGGAGTGATGGGCTCGCCACGTTAGCAACGCCCCATGAGCAGTTTCTTGGGGTTAGGCTGCCTTGCTCAGGGGCACCTCGGCAGTGCTCAGGAGGTGAAACTGGCACCTTTCCAGCTACCAGTCCACACTCCATATTGTGGTCTGTGGGATTTCAACCGGTGACCCTTGGGTTCCCAAGCCAAGTCCCTACACACAGCATACTGCCGCCCCAGATAAGAATGTCATTACTGTTGTGATCTTTAAAGGTTCTTACAGAAAACAATTTCAGGATCAAAAGTGCTGAAAAGGCGCCTCAAGGTTCACACTGAATGAGAAGCAACATAAGCAGACGCCGATAAAGCAACGTGATCAATGTTTTTGATGAATATAATTATAGATCATATTATAGATTGACTTTCTTCTGATCGCCCAGGTGTGATGGAGAAGCTGGGCCTTGGTCCACACGAGCTGTTGAAGGAAAATCCTCGTCTGATCTATGCTCGCTTGACGGGGTACGGACAGAGTGGATCTTATGCAACCGCAGCCGGGCACGACATCAACTACTTAGCCATGTCAGGTAAGAATAACACACACAAATGTGAGTGTATATAGACTGCTGATGTTGCACACTGATGGAATGGCTTCTGCTCTTTGTACTTTTTCATCTGTTTTTCCGAGTACATACAGTGCTGTCAGCTGTGTGTGTGTGTGCAGTCAGTCTTTTTTTTTTTTTTATGATTTCAATTTCCTGCATATTGTTTTTCAAGTGGGCATAACACTGGCAGTATGACCTTGGAAACTTTCCTATACAACATGTCTATAGCCAACTATTCCAATACAGTGGAACAAATCAATACCAATCCTGGATAATAACAATGAAATAAATTACTTACATTGTAATTGCTGCCAACACACAGAAGAAGGTCTTATAATGTATTATGTATGTAGCAGCTTATATACACCACTGGAGGGTGATGCAAGCATCCCAACCATATGGTAATTTGGGATATAAGGCAAGTATGAAAATAAATTGACTGCTACTATTTCCCAACACTCTCATTTGGTTTCAGTTATGTAACTTGTTCAACAAACCAAATTACAGTGTGTGTATGTTGTAATTTCTGTAATGTAAGTAATTATAAAATTAAAGGTTTTTCCTAGAGTCAGCTTTTGCTTTTTCCCCTCCACTCTGTCAATTAGGGCGATGAAATCGTTTGATTTTTTAAAATTGATTTGACTTTTTTAATGCTCTTAAAAGCGTGCCTTTCAAATGCTAACACACACAGGCTGCTCATTAGTCTGGACAATCTGTATTTTGCAGAACAAAAGGAGGACCCGGCGTTAAAAAAAGTAATGAGGCGGTTGATGCAAAAATGCAACCTCACTTGAGACAATAGCAATGAAGACTTGAGGCCAAATAATGCCATATGTTGGGGTGGGATTCAGGCTTGCTGTAAGACCCAAAATATACTTACAGAATGGACCGTGGTAAGATATATGAAGCTTAGCCCTACTAATACGGCGATAGCAAAGTTTCACCAGGAAGGATATATGATAAAACAGTGGCAATGGAACTGTGATATCATAGAACAAGGTCTGATATGTACAAACCTATAGATACGACTGGGGGTGACACAGATAATTTGGCATATGAGGTAGCTGCACTCTATGAAAATAAAATGAAACGATTCTCAGCCTCCCATCTCTCTCATTTAGCTTCAGAAAGCCTAACCCTGTTCTTATTGTAACGCTTTTTAAGCCATTTCCAGAAAACTAACAATCTAACTAAACCTAATATTACTTAGCTTAATACAGGTATGCCCACTGAGGTGTGAGGCAACAGGATGGGATCCAGCATGGACCTCTAAATATAAAGACTTGATGTAAAAAGTGACCTTGGTACGATTTAAATCTTATAAATATATTAAACTAAGCGTATATAATAGTCATATCAGGCTGCTGTCAATAACTGATGATAAACATGTTTTTTTAGTGATGGATTGTATCATTTGTAGAGCACATACAGACAAAAGAAGAATGAGAACATTTGTGGGGATACCTGCCACAGTAGGTTTGCCTTTTTAGTTGACACCCCCACAAAGGGGAGGAAAATAAAAGGTTGAAGCATACATTTTCAGAAAGTTGCTGTTACTAGTCTGTACACTCCTTGTTCAAGGCCCTTTGTAATATCTGATTACAGAGAAGCAAAAGGGCAAAAGTTACATGCTAGTTTAAAAGAGTGAGCAATTACTTTGTCAGGTTTGTTATTATGTGCCGTCAGAGCTGAACATTCCTGCTTGCAGGGGCTGTTAACGTCGGTTTTTGGTGTTTTATTGGGCTGCATCACACCCTGATTCATTCAGTTACTGAACTCATTGATTTTCTTTCTCTCTGACTGAAAGACTCTGTTGTTACTCTGTCTCCACTAGTGAAGCTGTCATTACATTTTGTGCCACAGGGCTTTTATCCCGGCTGGGGCGCAGTGGTGAGAAGCCCTACGCTCCATTGAACCTGTTAGCGGACTTTGCAGGCGGTGGTCTCACCTGTGCTCTGGGGATAGTCCTGGCGCTGCTGGAGAGGACGAAGTCAGGGAAAGGACAGATCATTGATGCTAGCATGGTAAGCACTGTCACAACACCTGCTCCACTGAACGTGATGTTCTGATTCAAGCACAGACATTCACATAAATATGCATAAGTACATTTTTTCACCTTGGTTAGGGCACTGACAACAGCCGTCCAGCAAATATATGCGAATATATATGTAAGGGTTAGGGTTAGGGCATTAATGTGGGCGTATTTGCTACTAGATAAAAAATCTATAACAACAGGTCATACAAGTTGAAGACTTTACAAGGAAAGTTATCATAGCAGAACACATTTTCTCCTCTGTCTCAGTGTTTGTGTGAAGACAGTTCAATTATAAAAATCCCACAGTGGTACTCCGTGTTACATACTGCAGTATGTTTTCCAGACGATGGTGCACCACTCTGTGAGTCAGGATCAGCTTTTACTGGGGTAAGCGATCAGCTGGACAGCCTTTAGCAAAGCTATTTGAAAAGCACATCAAAGTCTCTGAATCCTGCTGTGCCTGACATCCACTGCTGGTTACAAAGCAGAGCTGCTCTAATGAACTCCTTAAGGAGGTGAACTTTTTGAATATAGCTACTCCATAAATCTAAATAAAAAGTATACATGTAAAGCAACTGGATGCATATAACACACTGAAATGTATTTTATTGTGAGTGTAGTATTTATGAAACAACATTTATTAGTTTACAGAAGTGGAAGTCTTAACTCATTGAAGTGAAGTATAAAAATAAAGGAATGCTTCAGTGGCTTAATCCAACTTCCATAAAGTTGAGGGACTTTTAAAATAAACTTTTAACATGTCAGTTTTTTTTCTTTATCCAATTTATAGCTGTCTTGACATCTTTCCAGTGAGGCTTAGGGTCTTCTTCATCTTATAAAGTTCCCATACTTTTTGAATCCAAATGTTGTATGATGGAGGATCAGCTTTCAACCAACTCACTGTGATACACTTTATAGCTCTTCCCCCAATGTCTTCTGGAATTACAGAAAGATGGGCGGGAGACAGGTTTTAGAACGACTGGTCAGAGTCGAAGCAGCAGAGGGCAAAATGTCCTGACTTTTAGTTGAGCTTCAAAAACACTGGATCCTACAATTCCCATAATACAACCTCTGCCTGTTAAATGCCCTCATCTCATCAAGAAGTGTGTGCTATCATGTGCTAAAGCAAGTGAAAATTGGTGCAGCTGAAAAATATATGACTGACAAATGAAAGTTTAATAGACTTTCAGCCCTGTCATTGTTATTTTCTCACTTTAGAAAGCTCTTCCAGTCCCGGAGGACATTATAAAGCTGTTTTACCTGTCTATGTAGTACTGACCTTTCGGTGTGAATTGGTATACTCGGCCTCTATTGTGAGTGTGGGGAGAGCACGCTGTGCTGGCTGCTTATTTTCTCCTCTTTAGTTCTTTATTTCTAAAGCCAACTGTGCCAACAATTCAATTTGGCAGGGCTTTCATACTTCATTATATAAAAACTTTTATTAGACTTATTCAATGTTGAGTGTGGCTGCTGTTTACTTTAGTGTTCACACGAAAGCTAAATTGCCTGTTATTTCAGTTTTTGGTCTGTTCACTCAGCCAGTTCCTATAGATCCATATAACTTATTATAATTCTTCTTCTATTTTGTCTCAACTACAGTCAGTAAGCTGGTATTCTTTTCTTTTTGTCTGTGTGTATTCTGCTGTTCATCACTGCACAGACTCTTTCTCCTTGGAGAAAGCTCAGGAGAATAATGTGTTTCTCTCACAATATTTTGCTGCAGGTTTTATTTTTTTCATGCTGTGTCTATGTTAAAGCATGCCGCAAGTAAGACTGTGGCGGGGCATTAGCATAATTAAATCACCAGAGATGAATTCTATTCATATGGGTTGATGCCGCCTCACTGTGTATGTGCCCAGTTAAATACTGTGTGCGTTTGGCTATGTACAGTACATGTAAAGGGTCTGTTTTAGGAGTCAAAACACAGTATGTAAGTACTGTTCTTTTAGTGGTTTAACTAGGTTTTATGTGCTCTACAGCAGAATCACTGCAGTATTTCTGAAGTTGCCAGTGAGAAAAATAATCCAGAAATTTCAGTTTATTTTATTATTATATGAAAAAGTTAGCTACAGATGGATAAATGGTTGAAAAAAAAAATCAAATAATATCCCCTTTTATATAGTCAGTTTTATAAAGTTATTATATAAATAACATCCAGATTCAAATCAATTCCAATGAACACATCTGGAACATGATTGGTGGCACTTGTGTTCATCGGACAGGACTGTCGGGGTACGTCTGGAAAAAAGGGAACCACTGCTTTATAGTGCTGTTTGGATTCCCCTGCTAATCCTTGGCATGCCTTGGTTCCAGCCTCAGTTCAGCTGAGTTGTTTAAATGTCACGAGGATCATAATTGTTGGCTGTGCTGTTTCTTTCTTACTCATATATTTACTCATTTGTTTTATTTTTTAATCCTCTGTAGTGAAAAAAAGCCTCAGCTTAGCGAAAAAAAAAAATAATAATAATAATCCGAATTTGACAACACAATCAATAGAGCACACATTTATAGGGTAATGTGCCAAGATAATGTGAAGCAGGAATAGGAGGTAATTTTTACAATATTAAAGCAGCAACAGGGACCTTTAATTTTGCATTGTTTCTGGCAGCCCCTGTTGATTTCAAATTGTCTCTGACTGAATCTGAACCAGTGGCAGCCATTAAGAATAACTATATCGAAATAGCCAATCTTCTTGTGTGCTTATGTAGGTCAGATAAATAACATAATAAATAGTTTTATAACCAGTTAAAAACTCCTCGTAGTAGGTTTAAATACTACATATTGTATCTATTATTTTATTGATTTATAGTTGTTTGGTCTGTAAAACACAGACGGATAATAGATAATAATAATAATAATAATAATAATAATAATAATAATAATAATAATAATAAACTTAAAGGTCCAATGTGAGCATTTAGGAGAGGAGGCAATTTAGTTTCTCCTTTGGGGGGGGGGGGGGGGGGGGGAGGGAGGGGGTAAAAAAAAAAAAAACCCCCCCCAAAAAAAAAAAAAAAAATTAAAAAAAATAAAAAATTAAAAAAAAAAAAAGAAGATAAAAAAAAAAAATTTTTTTTTTTTTCAAAAAAACAAAAAAAAAAAAAAAAAAAAATAAAAAATTTTTTTTAAATAAAAAAAAAAAAAAAAAAAAAAAAAAAAAAAAAAATAAAAAAAAAAAAAATTTTTTTTTTTTTAAATTAAATTTTTTTTTTTAAAAAAATAAATGTAAATTGTACATATGAGTTGTTAAAATAACTCCAAAATAGCTCAGAAACTGAACATTAATGTTATAATTTTATGGGATTTTGTTTACATTTGCTGTATTGAGATACATATCGTATATACTGGAAATCTATTCTTAATATCGCAATATTAATTTCAGCTGCATCGCCCACCTGTGAAGTGGAAAAGATACAAAAAAGAGTAAAAAAAGTGCCTTCAACACTCAAAAAGGTGTAATCATTTACATTAAATGGACCTTTGAAACTTAAATCTACATCTTCACTGTGATGTCGCAGAAACATCTGGTGGGGCTGTTTGTCAGTGGCACACCATGTAATTGTGATGGTTGTTAGTGCCAATGCAGGAACCAGATGGAATCACAAGCACAACACCATCTGCCTCAAAACTATCAAACTGTGATGAGTCAGGGCTGTTTCAACGTTTTAGACATGACGTCTAATTTGGTCTAACTGTGCTCGAAAGATTTAACAGCACCTGTTGAGCCTGTTCAGTCAAAAGCATGTAATTAGTCAGTATTACTATCCATTCATTCATCCATTTTCAATAACAGCTTATTCTTTTGAGCTTCTAAGACGTTGTGTGGGCAAGAGCTATTTACAGCATGCACTGCGTTGGGGTTATAGTATATAAGGCTGACACACTTAGACAGACATAGTTACCTTTAGATTTACACCTGTGGGCAATTTACAGGGGTGTTTTTAAATTGCTATGATTTATATTTTTATAATAATAGTGTATCAAATAACAATGTGACAATGTGAAAGAGGTTGCTTTTAGGGACGAACCTCCAGAGAATTATTATCACCTGAATCTGCAGCTTGCATTAAAGCTACGGTAGGTAACTTTTAGAAAAATATCTTTTTATCATATTTGCTGAAAAGTTTGCCAGAGGAACCTAATATTGCTGCATGATATCATAAAAATGTGATTATTTTGACAGACATTGCAATGTAATTCACTATTTTATTCACAGAGTGATCAGTTTTGCATCACAAGTTTCATTTTGACTGAAAAAACCTGTGATGATATGATATGAAATGAAATGAAATGAAATGATGATAATGTGACATTTATTGGGGTCTGTACCAAACAAACAGGTTTTCTAACATCTGGCGAACAAGATTTGTATGCCAGGGCTTCTCTGCAGCACTACAGTACTTCATTATAATGCTGTTTGTCACACATTTGACCTTTATCAAAGAAATTCCTGCTTCTTTAAATGCTATTTTGATAATATTTCGACAATATTTAAATAAACTGTGCAGCTCCAGTGAGGATATAGTGAAAGTTTCAGCAAATATAAAAATTTATTTTTATAATTTACCTACTGTAGTTTTAACAGCACTTTATAATAACAGTGATTTATTGCAGCAGGCACCTGTTTTCAGAAATAAAGCTCTAAAAATTTACTATACGCTAGCTGCTCAGCACCAAACAGCAGACAGATAAAGTTAGCAAACAGCTGGTGAACATAGTTTGAGCATTTCGCAGCTAAAGAGTCAGATATTCCCGTTATTACAGACAGAGCAAATAAGAGAGCGAATATTGAACTCACATTCATCAGGTTACAAGAATATGACTCAAAATGAGGGTTGCTCCATGACTGCTGAATGTTTGAATAAGCAACTGTTTGCTAAATCAAATTAAACGGTATTAATAATACAATGTTGAGCTGCACCCAAGTGGCCAAAAAATCAATTGCTGCAGGTTTAAACGTTTCCATTAGGGACCAATTACACTAGGCACACAGACAGGGGCGTCCATTTGCAACACTGTGTGCCATTTTGTGTCGGCTTCAGTTCACAGCGATTTCAAATTGCTGACTGTGGACACGGAGGCAGTGAATTAAAGCGGTTGTAACAGTAGTCAGTTCATGCCCGAAGCATGGATTTAACTTTGACACTGAGAGCGTGGTTGTCAGACCAAATCCTGCTTCCCATCTCTCTCTCTTTCTCTCTTATCCTATTGATTTATGTTCCCTTTGTGTTTAGTTTTAAATGGTTTGACTGAGTGACCACATTAGTTGGTCCAAAGCACATTCTGTTTCTTTAAATAAAAAGGGATCTCTGCATTTTAATTGGTGGTCAGCTCCTTGAAAACTGCATTTTTCTATCACACTACGAGGAGTCAAAAAAAAGAAAAAGACACAAGTAGTAATAGAGACTTTTGTTTTTCAAAGCCCTCATGTAATCTGCCTCTTATTTCTTGGAATAAACAAATGCATTTTTCATGATCAAAGACTGTCAAAGCAGAAAACGCACTCGGCCCAACTTCCCCACAGATTCCATATGCGTGGGTCTTTTATTTTGTCACAGAATTACTATGAATGCACTGAAGTCCTGACCAGAGACAGGCTACAGAGTAGCATAGCAAGCCGTTTGGAGCCGTTTTACTAAAGCCAAGTGTGTACACAGAACATTGTGTTACTTATTCAAATATTTAACCCCCCCCAATGCTGATCAGACTGTTATTGTTTGCTCATATGAAAGAGTTCATTAGAGGTTACACTGACAGAATTGATTGCAATCAGCAATAATAAAAGTAAGGGTTTCTCTTCTTCAAGTCACAAATATTTCTTTCCAAAATATTCAGTGTTTGATCAAGATGTTTTATTCATTCAGCAGCTGTAATAGCTTGTGCACATATAGAGGTTACAGTAATTACATTATAAATATAGGCAGCTCGTGGTTTATACAGTAAAAAGTGCATTTGTGCAGTGTTTTCACAAGCTCTGCTGAAAAGCTTCGTATTCAACAAGTAATTGCCACATTTGAATGGTACTGCAATAGCAACAGCGTTCAACCCACGCTGTGTGTTTTCTTCTCAGGAAGGTTTTTTTTGGTGGATAGATGCTTAGAGATATGCTGCGGATATGTGCTTAAGCATGTCAGCTTCTGCTACACTGTGAAAAGTCTGTATCCTTGGATTAGCATATAGGGGAGTGAACACCCGAGGTAGTTTGCAATTTTAAGGAGTTTGATTTTAATTCATGAATAAACAGAAAAAGTTATAATTTTATTTTTGCCTAACACATGGTACTTTATATTCATTTAGCTATCCTTTGCAGTTAACATACGAATAGAGTAATTATGCATGAAATATAAATACAAAAATGAACCCTGACCTCACCTTTTCTCTTCCCCTCTCTCGTCCTCAGGTAGAGGGAGCAGCATATGTAGGTTCATTTGTATGGAAATCTCGTAGCATTGGTATGTGGGACCGTTCAAAAGGACAAAACATGTTGGACAGTGGAGCACCCTTCTACGATACCTATCAGACTTCAGACGGACAGTACATGGCTGTGGGTGCCATAGAACCGCAGTTCTACAGAGAGCTACTTAAGGGTTTGTAGTATGCAAACACATTTTTTCCTTCCACATGTGCCCGAGACTAACCTTGGGGGAAACTAATGCACGGTTAAGTGCGCTGTTCCTCCCAACACTAACCTATGAAAAAAAATGATTGGTGAAAATAAACGAATTACCTTTCAAGTGAATTACTTGGAACGCCACAAAGGTCAACAGGTTGATTGTTATTGTGACCACTGCTCTAAGAACATTTCTCTGCAAACATTTTTGCTGTTGATGCATTGGTTACATAAGTCTTCTTTTCCTAGGCTTAGAGTTGGATGCTGGAGAGCTGCCTCCTCAGATGAGCTTCAGTGATTGGCCAGAGCTGAGACGGATCTTCACAGAGCGTTTTGCTTCAAAAACCCAGGCGGATTGGTCAAGGATTTTTGATGGAATCGATGCCTGTGTTACACCTGTGTTGTCTTTTGACCAGGTGAGCTCACACCCACATAACCAGGAAAGAGCTTCCTTCATCAAGGACTCCAGCAGGGATGAAAGCCCCCGGCCGGCCCCAGTTCTCTCTCGGACTCCTGCAGAGCCTTGCCTTACCCCAGATCCTGTTATCGGAGAACACACGGTTGAGGTGCTAGAGGAGTACGGGTTTACGTCAGCGGAGATAGACCAGATGCGAGCAGCAGGGGTCGTAGAGTCTAATGCTGTCAAAGCAAAGTTGTAGAGGACCAAAAGTCAAAAGCTTGTTTAAAAAATCCACATTTCTATCTTTATTATGAGCTGTACGGTGGACATAATCGACCTGTCCCAAACTCTTTTTGCTCTGTGCTCCAATAACAGTTCACACTCTTTAAATGGGTCTTTTCAACATAGATGAGACTAGCACATAGCATATTAACTACAGGGAAAGTTGGCCGAGGTTCTGGCCGATGCTCACTAACCTGTTATTGGAGCACAGAGCCAAAAGGGCGGGACTTAGGGCATGCTAGTAAGTAAAAAAACATGTATTTTCTTTTCATGAACTAGAAATTCAACAGAGACACTAAGAAAAAAAACTTCCATCCATCTCATCTCCTATTTTCTTTCATTCTCTCAGGCTGAGGAACCTGATGTTTTCCAAGATATCTTACTTCGAGTGTAGGCGATGTAGGTGATTGGACGAGGTTAAAAGCCATCCTGTGCACTCTCTCAGGGCACATGGATGCAGTTTGGGTTTGACAATTCAACTCAACTTTTTTTATGCAGCACCTTTCATACGAACATGCAGCCCAAAGTGCTTCACATAACAAATTGAAATCGGTCACAGCTGTCAGTTTGAATAGCTGCCTTCTTGTTTTTAGTTCCGCTTTTGCAGCACTTTTGAAAAACAGCCCTAGGAAGTGCTGCTACTCCTTAAATCACATAGTACTGAGGTGTGCTACATTTTCCAGCTAAGAGTCAACCTGGTTTCCATGTGCCAAATGTTTGTGTATAAATCAACAGACACCAAAAATGTGAAGTAAATACTTCCTAAATTGTTGTTGGGCTTCTAAGTTTGGCATGCTAATGTCTGATATCTCCTGAATCCAGTTGTGTCGCGTTCCAGTTGCATTTTGGCTCAGTGATGCTTCTGTAAACTGCAAATGTGGAAACGTACATTTCTAATACACTGTAGTTAAGTTGGTTTGCCCACATTTTGGGGGTTTTACAAGCATAAATACACATTTTCAGTTCATTTAGAAGTGAAAACATGTTTTGTGGCAGTACTTGGACGACCTTTTGTTGCCTCTGTGATCTCTTATTTTAAATATCATTGTAGCCGATTTCACAGTGCAGCTGTCGTCATGAAGACATGGGGTATAAAACCACTAAATCACAAGTGTAGCTGCCTTAAACCAGAGAGCAGGTTGTGTTCAGTTGTATGCGAAAGTTTGGTCACCAATTTTTTAAAATTTAAAATATTTAATCGTGATTAATCGTATTAATGTCATAGTTAACTCGCAATTAATCGCAATTAATTGCACATTTTTATCTATTCTAAATGTCCCTTGATTTCTTTTTGTCCCATTATTTTTTCTCATTTTAATGCCCTTATTAACATGGAAAAGATCGGCTTGCTTTATGCAAATGTTGTTTTTATTGAAAACAACATTGGCATATACTGTAGTGTTCAATTTCACACTAACATTCTCACTTGGAGAAAATAATCTCTCACACAATGTAACACTGTCCATCAATAAAAGGGTGAAAAAAATACTCTGTCACACAAACAACCCCTTCAACATATAACATATAATAGCTCAGTTCACAACGACAAAACACACAGATCACTTTGGTCTTGTCAATGGAACCATTTGGAAACTTTTTAAAAGTAAACTTCCCATTCAGAATATTATTAGCATCCATTTCGGCGTCTCGCACTCGCCATCCACTCAAAAGGTAACATCTACTACTCTTAAACAAGTGTGTGCGGTGTGCCTGTTTCCGGTCTAGCTAGATCCGGTGTGGTGTTGTAGTTTTTCTAATGTTACTAGTTGTTGCAACAGCATGTGAAAAAAACTACAAAGTGTCCTAGGCCAAAAAGAACGCTAATCTTGTGATAAAAAAATTTACACCGTTAAAATGGGTTTGCGTTTACGCCGTTAATAACGCATTTAACTGACAGCACTAATTGTTAGGTTGTTTTTTTCTTTATAATTGGGCATACTTTACTGTCAGTACTTAGTAAACACCTGGCAGATATCACAGCTGGCAAACAAGTTTTGTAGTTGCTAAAAGTCTATTAGATCTTGTATTTGGGTGCTTTTCACATTATTTCTTTCAAAAGGCTTCTAGTTCAGCAGTATTCTTGGGGGCATGCACAGTTCTTAAGATCTACCCACCGATTTTCAATATTTAAGTCAAACTGTGAGGGTCATTCCAAAACCTTCAGCTTGCGTCTCTTGAGGTAGTCCACGGTGGATTTGGAGGCGGACTTTAGGATGAATATGGAGATGCCACATTTCACACTGTTGAAACTGCAGGCTGACAATGCTTTGCTATGTTCTTGTAGCCTTCTCCTGCATTGTGGGCATCAATGGGCATCAATAACTTCCATTTTCAGAGTCTTACACAGCTGCATAGAGGAACCTGTGATTGGTCAGTGTTAGCGCACGGTTTGAAGAATCAGTGTATTTGTAAAGCTTTGAAATTGGCACCAGCTGATGTTTCCTAATGACAACTGTTCACATGCCTCAGGCCTAACGAGCTGATGAAAGTTGAGGCCTTGTATAAAGAATCTGAGACCGCAGAACTCATAGGCTGCCCAAACCTTTGCACATGCTATAATGATGTTTTTTTTTTTTGGGTGAATTTCTGAAATAAAACGAGACAATGTGCGCTGCAAATATTATGCTTTATGTCCCATACCCTCGTGAGGCTGTGTCTACATCTTTTAAATGAAAAAAATCACCAAAATGTGTTATTTGTCAAGGGGTGGCCAGACTTTCAAAATACAGCTGTATTTCTCAAGAAAATGTCAAATGAAATGCATCATTAAATATTCATTTTAAGTCAACTGTCAATAAATACATGCATTTATATACATTTACAAGTAAATTTCAGAGACGTGAGCTACTCTGAGATAAATAGACCCGGCACATAAGGAAGGCAGAGCAGAGAAAAGAGCTGCGAGTGACACGCATCCGTCACAAAGATGGCACCTAGAAGGAGTGAATCTTCTCCGGCAGCCATAAATGACGCAGGCAGATCCAGTGGACGTGGGCCGTCAACTGTGGTTTTGTGGTACCTGTCAAACTACCTGTTGATGCACATTGAAAGAGCTACAGGAGGAGTTTATGGGAATTTCAAATATAAAACACCACATTACAGTTATTTATACCAGACATTAATTAAAATGAAAACTTTTCATTATTAAGAAGAAGAAAACTAGATTGCTTTTTTTAAAAAACATTTTACTCATCAATACCATTTTGTACATTGTAATTTATATAGTTGGCGTCATCTGTGGAGAACTCATTGCAGCCGAAGGTTTAAATGATTGGTTTCAACTGATTAAATACTCAGAACCTCTGTGGGGAGATGCCTAATGATAATTAATGAACTTGATTCATGTTAAATCGTGTGCAGTGTGTGTATATTTTAAAGCTGATACACACCCGCTTAAATCCCCTTCAGACATGTATGAAGCCATGTATACAAATAAACTGCTTGGAACAATAATGTGCGCCTGATGTGGGTTTTTCTATATTAAACTCATTAAAAAGGATGTCTACTCCTTCTGCCTCATTAAAATTTCCAGTATCTGTGAATATGCAAATTGTGTTGATTTAACAAGTGTTCCTGCTGGACACAAGATGTCTCCTGCTTCACTGTAAAGTCCATTCTCAGTGTATGTGCATTGATGGCTTCTAGTTTCTACATCACACTTGTATAAGTTGCAGACTGGACCAGGATGGACGTTTTAGACTATTAATGATGTCACAAATCATCCTCATAGGCTCTGCCTCTTAAAATCTAATTTTCAAAGAGCACAGAGAAACTTTCCACTTTCAGCAGATGAATGTGGAAATGTCCTTCTAGCGTCTGCACAGTGAAGCTCAAACATCCAACTGCAGGAACAAGAAGAACATTTTTGAGGTTGACTTTGGAGAAAGTTTGAGTATCAGTGCTGCGATTATTGAAATTCCTTTAATAACAGATTCACCATCAACCCCAGGATATGCATATTAATTTAAACCTGCTGTATAAAAAGTCTGTAAAATAATTTGAATAAAATGCATGACACGTGAGATAAATAATGTGCTGTATGTTATCCCAGTATGACCACATGATGTGAAGGAGAGATGACTGGAAGGCAGCAGCATGATGGCTTAAAAAAATGACTGTTGGAATGACTTTAGACTGACTTTGCAGCTGAACAATAATCCAATGGATTTTACATAATAGGATACAGATTATGAGTTTATTCTCTTTTGCATATTGTCATGAGCCAATTTGTTTTAAGCTGTATAAGGTCAGCATCAAGAATTTTGTGACTTACTGCCTCATCAGGAAACTCAAATGTGGCTCTGAAATGAGCACAAAGTGTAATACGATGTTTTTTATTATTGTCTGCTTTTGGCATAACAAATATCAAATTGATATGAATGAAGTGTGTGAGTGTGCATGTTACTTGAATTTTGAAGCACATGAGAAACTGAAATCACAAAACAAAGGAAAGATTTGAAACTAAAATATATCTCACATTATAATCCCACATTCTGAGACGAGGTAAGAAAAGTAAGTCCAGTTTCTCAGAAAGGAAATAATTTCTTTAAGGTTAGCCCATGTTAGCTACAGTAAGTTTGTTATGTCATCATCATGCTGTCTGTATTGTGCTCACATACTGTATTAGATAGATTTGGTCCTAATACTTTGATTTGGTAGAATTTGGGGCGTACTGGGATGTGTGAACTGTATTTGTGCAAGTACTTACTCAACCAGTACAGCAATGGTGCTATCTCTAATGTAAGAATGGGAAATTTGTGATTCCCAGCATGTTCATCTTCCTGTCACTAAGCAACATGTGGATGCTACCGTGGTCTTTAATGGCTTTTTTACAGACTAGAACCTTTCTCACAGCGTGTGTCATGTCACTGCTTGCTGAAGAAGCTTACATAATTGTTCATCACCCTTTACAACAGAGGTTTTTCCCTCCATCCAAGATTAATACGCTTGACAGCTTGTTCATGAACGTACTATTGCATACGCTGTTGTAGTATAAAAGCTTAAGACAAGAATGTATGTGAGGAATGTCTGTGGTGTGACTCCAAAACATCTGACTCTCACCGTGCCGGGCCAAATGCAGGGCAACTGGCTGTAAGCATATAGCATGGGATTACAGTGTGACTATAGTGCTTCAAACACGCTGTTAACTGAATTGTGCAGAGTAGTTTTGGACTATTCAATCTCCATTGTGCAGCGAGTATCCAGTAAGCATAAGGAGGAGGCACGGAAATATTTGGAGATCTTAAGCTCCCTAGTGTCAACACATATTGTTGCATAAATAGTTGGATTAGAGATTTAAGTGCGCTGTGGAGTGGTGTTTTGAATGTGATTATAGAAATGAACTGAAATGGATGACATTTTGACTAGAAGCAACTTATTATCATTGTTAGCATAGTACCACTTGTCATTTAAGCTGCTGCTTTTAAACGACAGACAGCTACAGCACAACCTTTTTATGTTATTTATTTTATTTGTTCATTTCTGTATAAAACAGAGTTTTTAAGTCAACCGAGTATGTAAATCTAGGGCTGCAACTGATTATATTCATTATATGACGATTGTTTGCTGGATTAATCAATGAATCATTTTGCCAATAAAATGTCTCAATATTTATAGTTAAATAGTAATAGTAATAGTTAAAAAAATTTGTAAATTATAATTTCCCAGAGCCCTCAGATTCTTTGTCGTATCAGGCCAAAACATGTTAAAGAAAAACATCAATTCACTCAAAAAGTACTGAAAATTGTTTGTTTGTTTATTCCATTAAGTCCAGCTATGATGACAGATGACTCAAAATTGCCAGTTGATGGCGCACATGGATGTGCATGTGTTCTGTATATAAGTATGCCCTCACATGTGTGTGCATGTGTACGTCAATGTGTGCACTCTGAGCAATCTAAGAGGCAATGAATCATGCTTGTGTTTTCTTTTCATATGAATATTCTCTGGCTAGCATTCAGGATACAGAAAATGACCTTCTCTCCTTCTGCTCCTTCCTCCCTGACTGCTTCCACCTTTCTCCTTCTGATCAGTATCCCTCCCCAGGGATCACATGCATCATCACTTGATTAGCTTAAAGTGCTGCTGTGGCCGACCACAAAAGAGCCCTTGTGATTTCATGGTTTTGTAAAGAACAAGTGGTTTTCGGGGGGGTGGGGGGAATAGATCGTTGCATTATTCCCTAGCATTAAAAATACCTGAGAGGGCCAGCTTAGTAATTACAGTGCAAGATGGTCCAATTAATTTTGATTGAAGGATCCTCCCCAATAAATGAAACTCTGCTTCCTTCAATGACAAGTATGTAGTTAAAAGATATTGGAGATATGATCACTCGAAACACTTTGAAACCCCAGGATATTTTCTAATTGCCTCTCAAGAGCTGAGGTCAAAAAGGCCACGAGTGTACCACCATAGCATCTCTGTGAGGCTGGAGTTTGGCACCGCTAAATGCTAATGTCAGGATTGACAATTAGCTCTGAACACAGAGTACAGGTGAGGATGAAAGGGATGCCATGGGCACATTTTGACCTGATGATGGCCCTAGATGGGACATTTAGCGACTAAAGTTATTACAATTAATCCCAATACAACTTCTTCCAGCAGCAGTAACACAATTATCGACCTTATGACAACCGAAGAGGATCAGAGGATCACCAGAGTCAGTAGGATGCGTCATCCAGTGTTGCCATTTTCAATAGAGAGTAGCTGAGGAGGCTGCTAGATATTATAATAACTGTTTTCATACTGTATTTACAAAAGTACAAAAAGTCAAACTAAACTGATTCTAACTTACTTTGATCTCATTAATGTGCATCTAACTCTAACTTTCATTTAAAAACCTGGTTATAAAGCCTGATGTATAAACTGTGGACATGTAACTGAGTTAAGTAATCAAGATACAAAATCAGTTACAGACAAAAACATGTAATCAAATTACAATTAGAGGATTATTAGCAGGATTACAATTTTAAAGGTTGTTCTTTAAAGATACACTATGGAGAGGACACACTGATGATGCTAAAAATCTTTGTTTCCATTTTTTTCCGCAGTGTTCTTTCGTCTCATACAATAAACTTCATCTTATTGGTATTTCTTTTGTTTAATATTGTGATACTTGACTGTAACTTGTAAACAAAACTCCCCATGCACTGCCAACAACAGTCAGGTGCTGGTAGCTCGCAGGACCATGTAGTAAGAAATCAGAATGAATCGCTGCACACTGCAATGACTTTACTGTGATTTATGTAAGGTTTATATTGGTTGAGGTAATCCAGAAGTAATGGAAAGTTATCATGTCACGTTACTTTAATATTGTGATACTTGGATTAGGTTACTGATTACATTTTAAAAGGTCGTTTGTAATTGTATATTTTTAAAGTAACCCTCCCAACCGTGACTGTGGAACTGAAACACCATAAACAGAGAGGAGGATCCACACAATTGAATATGCTCACCTTTGTAAACACCTTTGTATTTAAAAAAAAAATAATAATAAAAAACAAAATTCAATATCGGGGCACCTGGATGGCTCACCTGGTAGAGCTGGCACCCCATGTACCAAGGCTGAGTTCATCCTGCAGCGCCCATGGGTTTAAATGTGACCTGTTTCCCTTTGCTGCATGTCATTCCCTCTCTCTCCACCGTTTCCTGTCACTCTTCAGCTTACTATCCATTAAAGGCAATAACCAAGTGGTGACACTAGAGAAAAGGTCATGTGATCACCAAAGTCAGTAGGATTCATCCTCAGGAAACTATTAATGTCAATATTGTAAAATTTCATGGCTATATCCATCCAATAGTTGTTGAGATATTTCCGCCTGGACCACGAGGTGGGTTGGTCCACTGACACACAGCATCCTCATGAAAGGAGAACTGACATGGATATTAATATTGGAAAGGAAAATGGCAGAGACGTTAGTACTGCCTGTCTTAATAAGGCAATATTTGATCACAGTATTTGATGTGGCGCAAAATTTACTTTTCTCAGAAATGACGTAGGCTCTCCTTCTTCTGCTGTACTTTTAGACCTTTACGGCTCATCTAAAATGTCTTGATTGATGCACAGAAATAGTGAGGATATATTTTCTCTTAAATACTGACCACAGTTGAGATATTAAATGAGCCTGAAGTTGATCCTTTGTGCATTGCATATTTTAGCATATTGTGTTTATTTACAGGATACATGTTGCATTTTATTATTTTACATCATGTTAAAGTCAATGTACTGGGATATGGTGTGTGTGTGTATGTGTGTGTGTGTGTGTGTGTGTGTGTGTGTGTGTGTGTGTGTGTAGATTTACTAGCAACTTTGATGTCAGCAAAATATTTTCTCCTTAGAGCTCCTTAAAGTGAATCTTGATCTTGAGCTGTTTTGGTATTGAGGTCAGCTCTGAAGCCACTCTGAATCCCCTCAAAATGAAAGTTATTATTCATGAATACACTCGGCTTTGAGT